AAAAACTACCTTTGGGAAATCTCATTGTGGGAGGGGCAGAGGCAAAAACGCCTGTGAGGAACTCTCCCCATTGTTGGAGGGGCAGAGACACAAACTTTTGGGAAAAGGTCATCATTGTGTAAGAGGCAGAAGCACAAACCATTGGAGAAATCTCACCACTGGAGTTGCATTTGTCTTGTCCAATATGGTGACATGTTTACCTTCAGTCATGCCCGGTGGTATTGTTGTTTCCCTAGATTGGATGATTTACTGCCCCTAGTATTATTTTCCCATGTCTGGGCTGACTGGTGCAGTTTTCCTGCGATGTGTTATGTGAGGCCTCCAACCCTTCCTGTAGTGACACATCACTTAATACATTTCCATCTTCTGATCTGTAACAGCTGGTGACTCCGCTGAGCTGCTGCCACAATATCAGAAATATTTGCTTGTGATTTCATTGTGGGCGTCCTGAACCACCCATAACTAATTAGCGATCTTTATGCCCGGATCTGCCTGCCAATTACAAGATATTCAACAGATTTTATTGGCTTTCGGATGGGCGCCTTCATCAGCGTGACACAATTAATTTCTCGGATGACATATGACTCAGGGACGGTTGTCCTTCATACCTTCTACCTAGATGTCCCCAAGGTTTCTGCAAGAGACAGAAGGACAGATTGTGATAATGTGATTCACGGACTCCGCCATAGTGAGCGATGTAATCGGCAATTTAACCGAATCTGGAGGAGGTGTCCAACAGCCTTTGTCTCCTAAATCATCATTAATACAACTCCACCTACGTGAACACAGACTCTAGTCATGACATCTATTAAGATTTCAAAATAGACTGTTGATGAGCAAGCAGGCTCTTGGAGAAGCACATTGCAGTATAATTTGTATATGTAAACATATGTTAACACTATTTTGGGTCCACATTGCGTTTACAATCCCTGAGGTGTGAAAAAATCCATCATGCCTTTGGCTCCTTCTATGCACCTCACTGCAGACAGTTCCGAGTCATACAAAAATAAATGAAAACTGGCATCCCCTGGTTCCTTACAAATGTGAATCTTCACTCCATTACCACTAGATGGCGCTGTGCATATAGAAAGTTTATGATCTGCAGTACAAATAGGATGCAGGGATATTGGAATTTGAATAATAAACTACCATCAAAGAGCAGCCATGACTCCTATGCTGACAACTAATTGTTCTGGTTGTCAGGTTTGCCAAGGAAAATATCATATTTATTGGTAACTTAGGCAGATCTCAGCAGATGCAGAGAGTTATTACTACAATATGTTTGTGCATATATAACGCTGGGATGCATGCAGAAAGTCCTCCTACCATGAGGCACACACACCTCTCTATGTACTAAGATCACCGATGAGCTTCTTGCATTGTTCTCTGACGGCATTATAACTAAAGTGTGTATTTTTTTTTTTTTTCACCCCACAGGACAAGCAGTCCTTGGATTGTCTGTCCCAGCAGATGGCAGTCAAGCAAAATGATGACGGAAAGTTCAGTCACACCATGATGGATTTTAATCTGAGCGGAGACTCTGATGGTAAGGACTGGCTGTTCCGTACCGATCATCCATACTGAACACTGGATTTCTCATTTCTCTGCTGTAAATGACTTTCTGCACAACCTTGGGCCGCACCACCCAGCCTCTAATCCTGTCCTCCTTTGTAATATGGAATGTATACAAGAAGGGGAAGGCAAACTCTGGCCCTCCAGCTGTGGTGAAACTACATATCCCATCATGCCTGTACCTCTAGGAGCCATGCCTGTGGCTTTCAGAGTATTGCAATGCCTCATGGAATTTGTAGTTACACCACAGGTAGAGGGCCGGAATTTGTCTACCCCTGGTATAAAATGTATGTATAATGTACAGGAGCCGGAGATTCCTGATATTAGGGATGTTCAGATACCAGTGCCGATACTTGGCATTTTCATGAGCACTACCAGGGTTGCAGCGGTTGCAGCTGGGACCTGGCTCTGGCGCTCCACCACTGTCCTGAAATCATTAGTCTGTATTGTTTTAGAGAAACTGTCACATGACACTAAACAAAAATGTATCAGTACTTGTGTCTGTGAGTACTTGGGCAAGTATCAGTACTTGTACTTGGTCTGGTTTGTACTTGGTTTAGTCTTGGAGCTGGAACATTAACAGTACTTGTACCAAGTACGATTCTTGGTATCTGGACATCCCTACCTGATATTCACAACCTCTTCACCATGTACGTTGTCTGACTCTCCTCTCATTGTTTTTCTGCAGGGAGTGCTGGCGTGTCCGAGTCCCGGATATATCGAGAGTCCCGGGGACGCGGCAGCAGCGAGCCACATATCAAACGCCCAATGAACGCCTTCATGGTGTGGGCAAAGGACGAGCGGAGGAAGATTCTGCAGGCTTTCCCTGACATGCACAATTCAAACATCAGCAAAATACTAGGTATGGTCACATGACAAGTGCCCAAAATTGTGTGTACCATTGTGATGTTGTATCATCAGTCTGCTGTATCACAAAGCTGATCTGATGTATTAACCTGAACACAGACAGTAAGAGTCTGAAATTTACTGACTTCTAGTTAAGGACTGGGATTCATATCTATGGTGAGAATCGGGTCCATCAATTATTTTTACCTTGCTGCCTACTAACAGATAACCCATTATTATGCAATAAATGCAACTGCAGGCACTACAAGCAATCATTGAGGTGTTAGTCCTGTCCAGGAAAGTTCTAATCCTTTTCCTTCTTTTAGAAGGGATTGTAATCCTTTCCCACTCCATCCAGAACTAAGTGAAAATGGGGTTGGATTTACACTTTAGGAACGGTGTACTCCCCATAGTCATCTGTCAGATTATTTTATACCTTTTATTAGCTATGAAGGAGAAATGAAAGATACTCTGACTGTTAGGAGCAACACAGGCTAATCTATGGATCTGCTACATTGTATCGACATTGAGGAAACTGCACAATCATGTCACAGAGTGCACCACCAAACTGCTCCATTGTATCATGAATATGCTCCATCATATCAAGAATCTGCTCCATTGTATCATGAATCTGCTCCATGCTATCCTGAATCTGCTCCATGGTTTCATGAATGTGCTCCATTGTATCATGAATGTGCTCCATCGTATCAAGAATCTGCTCCATGGTATCATGAATCTGCTCCATTGTATCATGAATATGCTCCATCATATCAAGAATGTGCTCCATGGTATCATGAATGTGCTCCATGGTATCATGAATGTGCTCCATGGTATCCTGAATGTGCTCCATGGTATCCTGAATGTGCTCCATGGTATCCTGAATGTGCTCCATGGTATCCTGAATCTATTGTGGATCAGTTCTGTGAAATCATGAATCTGCTCCGTGGTATCATGAATCTGTTTTACTCCATCGTATTATATATCTGCTACATTGTATCACTGCAAAGCATACCAACTATGTAGAAGATAGTGGCATCCTGCCCATATGTCACCATGGTGTAGGTGGGGGCCTCCTTTGTCTCCACTGATACCTTATAGACACATTCTCTTTAAAATAGACACTTGAGCCGGGCTGACATTTCTGCGTCTCCCGAGAGCTCCGCTGACATTTTAAAGGGTTTAGAGTGTTTTATACGACAGCGAGGTCTGGTCTTAATCAGCCGTTCCCCTGAAATTGTTAACAGAAGGAATCGCCTCTGACTGTTTGGCCCGGGATCAGGAGCGTGCGCACACATCTTTCTTCCATTATTCATACAGTAGTTCGCAGACGACGTGCAAATTCATTGCAGATCACGTTAAAAAAAATATATGACAGACTTCTCTGCCCCGGAAACTAGGCTTTGATCTGCTCGGTTTCTGAACAACAGAGAGCGAAAGGGAAGAAACGGGGAAGACGCAGCAAGTGCACAGAGAAGGGAATATTATTAGTATACGTTTATATTATATAGCTCTGACATATTCTGCAGTGCTGTACAGAGAGCAATGAGCCGATCACATCGGTCTCTGCACCAGAGGAGCTTACACTCTAATGTACCCACCACAGTCCAACACTATAATTATTATACATTAATATAGTTCTGACATATCCTGCAGTGCTGTACAGAGAACACTGAGTCAATCACATCGGTCTCTGCACCAGAGGTGCTTACACTCTAATATCCCCACCACAGTCACAATTATTATACATTTATATAGCTCTGACATATTTCACAGTGCTGTACAGAGACCGCTAAGCAGTCACCAGAGGAGCTTACACTCTAATATCCCCACCACAGTCACACATTATTATTATTATACATGTATAAAGCTCTGACATATTCTGCCGTACTGTACAGAGACCACAGCCATTTATATCAGTCTTCACACCAGAAGAGCTTACACTTCAATGTCCCGCCACAGTCACACAGCATCATTGATTGTGCTATTAGCATACGTGTGACAGTTTAGTTGGTCAGTTTAGTGTTCTTTCTCTGCCTGCTCTGTGTTATTAGTGGGAAGATTCTCCTTCTGTCTTTTATCTTGTCAGGCACACAAGAGGAATCGGTGCTCAGGTTTGACAGGGCGTATGTTTGAAGTCTGACTTACACATTGTCAGCTCTCATTATCTGACAGTTTCGGGCCCGGCAGACGAGATCTGTCTGAGTTTGCAGTGAAATGATTTGATTGCAGCACGCACAGTCACCGTTGTAGATGTTCAGCATCTGTGTCACAGCAGTGCCTCCTCTGTATTAGACAGCTTATTCAATCCATGCAACACATTCACATACGTTGTCCCAAATAGAAAAAAAGGTACATGACTGCTTGTTCTTGGACAACTCTGAGGAGGATCAGATTATTATTATACAGGATTTATATAGTGCCAACGGTTAGCACAGCTCTTTACAATATAAGGAAGACATTACAATTTCAATACAACTCTAGACAAGATGCTAAGGAGGGCCCTGCCCATAAGAGCTGACAATCCAAATATATATGGGGCAGTTTTTATGTTTTTAAATGCAGATTCCAAAGTTTAGGTAAGATTGTTTTTCACGTTGCTGCAGCAAAAACATTGAGGGGAATTTATCAAAACTGGAGCAGACAAAATCTGGAGCAGCTGTGCATGGCAACCAATCAGCTTCTATCTTTCATTTTCAAATCTCAACTGAACAAACTGAAGAGAGAAGCTGATTAGTTGCCCTGCTCAGCTGCTCCAGATTCTGTCTGCTCCAGTTTTGATAAGTTCCTTCCATAATTTACCTGGTAATGACCAAACACAGTGAATGGATCTGGTCATTTATCAACTGTATAGATATGAAATGTGTATTGCCATTCCTGACTTAAAACATTAAGACACAAAACAAAATAATATAAGACCTCATCTGGGGTGTAGGTCACCAACCGCAGCCAAGTTTTTGGTTGAAACGTTAGCATAATTAATGGGCTTTTTTCCGTTACTTGTGGAGAGCACAAAAAGCTGGTAACAGATCTATCCAGAGGCAAAAAATTGTAATCCAAAGTGACAGGACGGGTTATAGGCCGTGCGGAGAAAGCAAAAGGATATCTGGAATGTGGAAACGAATACCGCAATCTGTATGTGTGTGTGTGTGTATATATATATATATAAACTGAGGGGGAAACGGCAGAACATGTTTGGCTGCAGTCCCGATTTGGCTGAGAGTTTCCCGCCCGGGTGGCTCATCAAATCAAAACTTGTTGAGTCGGGGGGTGCTGGCAGAGCCATCCACAGATCAAATTCAGGATGATTCAGCAGGAAATAGCTGAAATCTAATTGTTAATTGTTTGTCCTGCACATTTTTTAAACAATATTGGATACTTTATTAGCATTAACCTCGCTGTGTGTTGTAACCATGTACTTATAATATTTCTGGACATGGTATCATAACAGCATTCGTATTTAAAAAAAAAAAGAAACGTTCTGTTTATTTGTGAAAGATTCTTTATGATATGAAGCTACTATTAGATTTTTCTATTTTTTTGAATCATTCAATTCCAACGGATGCTTGAATGATAAAGCTGTGCATCCTACAAACATGGTCAGGTTAAAGGTTTAGAGCCTATGAACTAAGGCACATGGAGTATCATAACGTCTAACCAATGACCATAACCACAGAGATGTGGGATCGTAACTCTTGTGGGCAAAAAGGAGGATTGGAGAAAGAAGGAGAAATACCAAGACTACAATTGGGGGGGATTGGGGGGGGGAGGGTGGAGAAGATAAGGAATAGGGTGAGAAGTGGAGAAAGGAGAGTGTGTAAAAAGGAAACAAAACGAATAATAATAATAACCAGATTGAAGCAGGTATACTGGACACAGATGCAGCCGAAGGTAACAGTTTAGGCAGCAGTTATACCTTAGGATGTTATAGAATCAGAATGTATTGATCGGAGACACAATTCATATACAGTCTGCATATAGATTGATGATTCCTGAAACTTGAGTCAAGGTTGCCCTGTTGCTTCAAATTTAACGGAGCGATCATATAGCGAGTGAGTCAATTCTTCCACCAATCTCACATGCTCCAAGAGGATAAACCATTCTTTGATTGAGGAAAGTTCTGGAGAATTCCTGTGTACTACTAGATATTTATAACATTTTATATCTTTTCTGAATTGATAAATGGTCATCTTTTTATTTGTTCATTAGCCCTAATGAAAGGGGAGTATTTAACCCTCCAAAGCGCATCGTCTCTCTATAGTCAGCCCTTTCATAGTTTTTGTTTTGGTTTTATGTACTCAGGGTCTCGCTGGAAAGCCATGACGAATCTGGAGAAGCAGCCTTACTACGAGGAACAAGCTCGACTCAGCAAGCAGCACCTGGAGAAATACCCAGACTACAAGTACAAGCCGCGGCCAAAACGTACCTGCTTAGTTGACGGCAAGAAGCTGCGGATCGGCGAGTACAAGGCAATTATGCGCAGCCGGCGGCAAGAAATGAGACAGTATTTTAATGTAGGGTAGGTAGTTCTGCTTACCTCTAGGCAGAAATTAGATTTCCTGCACCGCTACCGGGCACTAAAAAAGTTGTCACAGGCGGAGTACACTAGCTAAGTGTTCACACTATGTAATATTCATATACCACCCCTACCGACACACAAAGTATACAAATATTTAGGTAAGGGAATCCCTTTTGGCCAAAATACTTCCTAGTGAGAGATGGCCAAATTTAAATTGGGGATATGGGAGATTGTTATACATATGCTATGCCATGTGTATGTCAGTCTTCCATAGACTGATGTAGATAGACTTGTCAAACAAACATTTTAACTAGATCTTTTGGTCAGAATAGCTAAGTTATGAAGGAACAAGACAGGAAATGAGTGTTGTCATGTCTCTGCCCTACCTTGGGGATATTTTAAAAGGACTGGACCATGTATGGTGTCCTTACTTCCCAACTTGTGACAAATCTGGATGAGCGGCCAACAATCCTTCCCTTTTCTATGTAGGAAAGGAAGTGGGTGTTCCAACAAGGATCACCCTAGTCGCTCAGGTCACAGTGGTTCTGGACACATGCAAGGACAGGCAGAGATGTCTAAGGGAGGATGATGATTGCATGGAGCTGCATCCCAAACAAAGCTTTGCTGAGTCATCATATAGCAATCGCCTGCTATATGCTGAGTTTTGGGTCCCAGGCCGACACAGTAAATGTCCTCCTGTGACTCTAAAGAGAACTGTGGCCCAAAAAGTTTGGGCCATAGTTCTCTTTTAACATATAGCCTTGCCGGGATGTTTACGCTACGTGTTATCAGAAATGTCTAAATAGATTTGTATGCTGTGCCACTTTTTAACACTCTCCCATCTTGTTACAGGCAACAAGCACAAATCCCCATCACTACAACGGGAGTGGTGTACCCAGGAGCCATCGCAATGGCGGGCATGCCATCACCTCACTTGCCGTCGGAGCATTCGAGCGTCTCGAGCAGTCCTGAGCCCGGCATGCAGGTCATCCAAAGCACTTTCAGCATCAAAGGAGAGGAGCCCCACATCAAGGAGGAGATCCAAAACGACCACATGAACGGTGAAATTTATGACGAGTACGAGGAGGACGACGATCCAGACGCAGATTTTGTCAGTGACAGTGAACATCACAGTGCGGGACAAGCCAACTGATGCAGGGGGGGTAAACGGCTGGAACTTTGAGGACTTAATAATGCCAAACCCCGACTTGCCTTCATCAGTGGTGAAGCATGAGCTTTTTGGATACACTGACTGTTACTTTAACTGTTCTTTAAATAAAAATAAAAAAATTGCTGGGACTTTAACTGACGGAATAAACTCTTGACCCAACGGGTTAGAAAAAATAAATTGAAAAACACAAAATACCACAGATTTTCCACCAAAAGAACGGGATAAGCTATGGGTAAACTAATGCCAGTAATCTAGCTGCTCAGCACTGACGTCTTACCCTTCAACCTTTTTTTTTTTTTCATATATAAAAAACAAAAAAAAAAAAAACAACAAAAAACTTGGCTGTTTGTTCTACAATGTTCTAGAAAATCTCACTCAGGTACACAGTGCCAACAAGTGGCTTGTGAATGTGTTTTGTCGTTTTGTGCTAAAGTTTAAAGAGGAATAAGAATTTTTTTTTTTGGTAACGCACCTGAAAAAAAAAAAGAAATAGAAGCTCCTGACTGGCACCTACCCTTCCATCATTTTCCCTGGCGTTGTGGGTGGATCCAAGGGACTGTCGTGTGTGTGTGCCTGTGTGTGTGCGTGTGGACACCCCAATCTTTTCCATCTGTACCATGGACATATTTCCTCATCTGTTGCATTTCTTATTAGCAAGTGCCAAATTTGTAATGACGTGCTGAATTAGCTTATAATTATTATTTTTTTAATTTCTGGTCTGTCTTAAGTTTAGGACAGTATTACTTCTTAGACAATCTCTTAAAGAACTGACAATTGACCAGCAGCTGGTAAAAAAACAAAACAAAAAAAAGGTATTTTATTTTAAACTGTAGTTGCAGTTCTCAGGTGATGGCGAGAGACTTAAAAATAGAGTGATAAAAATAAATATTTTATGTATTTTGTGTGCGTGTGAGCGTGCCCATGGTTCCTACCATGCTTAGCACGGGATGAAATCCCACATCCTAATTGTCACCAGACTTTAAGAAGCCTTTTAATGAATATTTGCACTTGAGATAGCTGGAGGAGAACAGGCGAAAATAAAGAAAATTGCATTTTGGGGGGACATTTTTTTGTAAAAATTTTAAAACCTTTTTTTTTACACACACACACATATATGTGTGTGTGTGTGTATATAAATATGTGTATGTATGTATGTACATATGTATGTATGTACATATATATATATATATATCATTTTAATGTATCTAATTTGGCCACCAGGTTTACCATAGTTCCCTGATTTTTCTTCTCTTCTTGATCCTGTGCTTGGTGCGACAAAGTTATATTCCGCTGTACATTAGGAGAGTGGAAAGGTTTTCGGGGGACTCGGATCGTGCCAAGGCCTTAAATGGAAACTTAATTAGGAAATAAGTAGGCCCATTGTATACGTGTATGTATATGCAGGCCAGGAGTTATTTTACGGATTTCTTGTACTGCATCAAGTTTCCGAAGAATTTTTGTATTTTTTGGGATTACAGCCATTTTTTTTTTTTTGTCTGTACGTGACAATTGCAGAGAAACAGAAGTTCCTGTGCAATAACGTTTATGAATGCAATTGACATTTTCACCTCACTGGAACTCGGTTAATACTGTGCTGTTCTAGTACAAGTTTGCTGAGCAAACTTTTTGCTGTTGATGTTTTTGGTACACTTCTACTCCGTCCTCATTCAAAACTTTTCATAAGTGGAGAAATAAAATTGCAGATTCATAAAAATCCCCCATAATAAAAAAATAAATTTGTTATTTCGATTTTTTTTTTTTCTTTTGCATGCTGATTTAGAAATAAATTATGCAAATTTTTGTTTAAACTGCTATTCATGTAGACAAGCTTCCTCTGGACAGGCTGGATGTGAGATACTGTCACCCCTTATAACAGTTTAGCTATTTACCGCTCATTCTAGGTGAGGATTTTTATCCCTGACATGAAGACCCGCTTTGGGTCCCCCATGGAGAAACTCCTAGTATTGCATGTCAGTTATATATTTTTTTCTGTTTGTACGTTTTGGGGTTTTTGTTTTTCATTTAAACTGCCTCTTAGTTATGTAATGACAATTTTATTATTAATAATTCTGCTGGTTGGCTGTTCCCAGATTAGTAAGTTAAATGTAATTTATTTTATTACTTTTTGTTTTTTTCATATTGTATTCTGTTATCATTTTCAGCAGCGCAGAGGAAGAAAAGAACTGTCTAGATATATTAAAAAAAGAAAAAGTAAACTATGTTTCTATTTTATAACTTTCTTAACTCCCCTTAAAAAAAAATGATATATCTATATATATATATAAATATTCTATGTTCCCTTTTTTTGAGGCCAGGTGTTTTTTGGATTTTTAACTCAAGCAGAACTTTTTTCTAAGAAATCTTTCTCCTATCTGGTTTTAATGTTAATTCATTGCATCATTTGTCAGAAATATTTTTTAGCACTGTATAATGACAGAAATTCAAATGGTGGTGTTGTTTCTTTATGCCATTCTTCATATGTACAATGTGAAAAAAAAAAAAAACCTTTTATGAAAGTGAACCTTTTTCTTTCAAAAAAAAAAGTTAGCTCTCTGACTCAAAAGCTTGTTTCACGTTTGCTGGACGTTTTAATTGCCATCATGTTAAATGTGCTCTGTTTGGATATGTGACTTTGGGCTACAAAAAATACTTTGTTTAAGCTCCAGGTAGATGCCACCAAGGCGGCCTCTGTGAAGGCCAAACATAACACACGCCAACGGTTATTTTTCTGCGCAGGGCCACATTTCTTGGCCGTCCTTAGCGATCGCTGTTATTCTTGGCCTCGTTTTACCACAACTTGCCAAAAAGTTAATTTTGTAAGAAACTCTGCCAGGGAGACTGGCATAGAAAGAGCTGTGAACCCCCAAACATTGAATTTCCACTCCCTTTCTTTTATTTCTTTTAAAAACATTGCCCCAACTGTTGGTGATCAGTCATCGTATGACCATTTCACATTCTTGAAAAAACAAGGGCCGCAGCTCTCTTGCTGGCCCGATTTATGGCCATCTATGAACATAAACATCAAAATAACTTTTGGAAACTTGTTGAATCAACTGTTTGCCCCGCATACAATCTTTCTTCTGTTTTTAACGTTGCTCTATATTCTCTCTTTTATGCATGCTGGATTCTCGGTGGCAAGTCCTTAGCGACCTATTTTTATTCAACAATTTTATACAATTATTTTATTTTTGTTTTTCCAAAATCTCCTGCCTTATTTTACATTATATTCCATAAAAAAAAAAAATTTACGTCATGTCTTTTTTTTTTTTTAACTCCTCCAAATAATCTGGTGGCAAATCAGGCCTAAGCTTAGTATTTTGAAAGAACTCAAACTAACCCGAACAAAATAAGTAAAAATCAACCGTTCAAAAAATGTAGATGATTTGCAATTTTATCTCAAATATTTTTTAACCAGCTCTTAAAGCTCCAGTCATGTTATCGCAGTTAAAAACTGTCAAAAGAAAGTCACTTTATTTATGTACTATATGATGAATCGTTAAGCGGAATAAACCTCTTCTGGGTTCCTGGGTCCCGAAGTCTCTGCCTGCCGCCTCTAAGATTTTATGTGGATCACCTGATGTTTTTGTTTTATTCTTTTTTTTTTATAAGGGTGACGTTCAATTATATAAAGTAAAACGGTACAAAATTATCTCAAGCTGCAATATCAAGGGAAACAGCCCCCAACACCTAGGAAAAAAAACTAAAACATTTCATTTATATCTGAATACCCAGATGAAACTTCATTTTTTTAGTCCTTTTATTTGTGTTATTTTTTATGTGCGGACTTACTTGGTGGGTGCATTGGAATATATTTCCTATAAAAATCTTATTCTGCCTGTAGGTGTCACATTTTATCTGTTTTCCTAGCTGGACTGGCTACAAGTGGAGCCAGAATGTGGGTGACGGATCAGTGACAGCAGTCATATTTCCATCCTCACAGGTTTAAAGTGCCAGTCCCTGCAGAAGGGATGTTGCAGTTTTTGGTGGATGCTCTTGGACCTTCTAAAAGTCTCTGACCCTCTAAAAGTGATCATACGCGTGGCAATTTTATGTTGCTTTCAAGCACTATTGAGCCACCGGGAATTTTATACATGATCTCAAGTCTTCGTCAGAAGCTAAGCAATTTAACACTCACGAGTCTGAATTGGGCATAAAATGGACAGCTTCAATGCTGTTAATAAAGATGGCGTTGTAATCAGGGCAGCCATCAGGGGGGTACGGCCGATACTCATGTAAGGGGCCCGGGCCCCTTACATGACTATCGGCCGATGGTGAAGGGCGAGGAGGCGGAGGACTGGCCCTAGCAGCGCAGGGCCCCAGCATTGCCGCTCCAGCGGCTTCGTCTGGTTGTAATGGAAAAGAAAGGGGGACATTTCCTTCCCATCTCTGCGGTTGATGGAAATCACCATTTTCGTTCTTCAGTTGCCTTTCGAGCTCGAACAAACATGGAACTGAACTTTCCTATTGACCTATCAAACAGCCACATATATGGGCAGCTGCCAAGGATCACACCATCCCTGCTGGGTATATAGAGAAGCAGCAGGAGGGCTGAGGGTACAAGACAAGACAGGAAATGTGGTTCATACTCCAAAAACTATCAAGGGACTTGAAGGTGAACTATGAGGTGAGTGATTTACACTCATCCTCATAGTTTGAGCCGACGTGTGACGTTGAAACTGTCACATGTCGGCTCTATTGATCAGGAGGTGAGTGAACACATACCGTCGCTCGCTCACTTCCCGATCATCTCCCTGCAGAGAGCGATACAGTTAGTCACCGCTCCCCGCAGGGATCCCCCCGCTCCGATCCTCCAGCGCTGACTGGAGGAACGGAGGGGGTGGGCACAGCTTGGTTCTGCCTCTAGATAGGCAGAGACAGTTGTCAATCAGCCAGCTGGGTGAATCTCGACAGTAATGTCAGGATCCGTCCCGGCTGCGGCGCTTTTAGTATACAGCGGGCAACAACCCGCTTTATACTGAGCCGCTATATACTGAGCTTTGGGTCACAGGAGGAGGTTAGTATTTGTCCTCCCGTGACCCTAAAGGGAACTATGGGGATTAAAAGGTTACCCCATAGTTCTCTTTTAAATTTCCTGGAAGAAACAAGATGTCACCAGCACGCAGGAGATATGTGTCTAAGCAAATTACTTTTATTGAGGAATATTGTCATAAGGAGGGCAACATTTTGGGGCCGCGCAGGCTCCCTTTATTTGGCTCAGCAAGGTGATTAAAGAGGCCCTTCGTGGCCCTCCTCGTGACAATATGCTTCAATAAATGACTTGTGCTTGTACACATAGCTCCGGTGTGCTGGTGACATCTTGTCTCTTCATTGATCTGAACGGCGCCATCCGCAGTCATTTCAGCACTAATCTGAAGGGGTATGCCAGTAAGAAGTATGGCGGGATACCTCTTGGACTTAAATTACCAGGATTCACCAAAAAACAACACACCAGTTTTGAGTGTATTGATCCTTTCTTGGAAATGGATAACTCTTTGTGAGTATTTTTATGTCTAAATACTATATACAAATGTTTCATTTTTACCTCTTGCAGGCTTCAGAAGCAAGGATAGTTTTAGAAATATGGTTTACTACTATGCTGTGAATTGACCTGAGATGCAGCGTATCAGATTACACACACAGCTGACTGAGTCACTGGAAGGTTCTCTCCCCACCTCACCTTCTGGGTTTTCTGTCTGCAGTAAAAGTCAGCTAGTCTGGAGCTTGTTCAGATCTGTGCAAGTAAGTTCAAAGCACCAATCATTTGTAGAGAAACAATTTTGCACAGATA